ATAAAAATCAACATAACTTAAATATGAATGTGGCCGTAACCTCATCTTGTGTTGTCTTTTAGAGACATGCAGTCATAATAGCTAATAATTGTAAATAGACCTACCTAATTTTTCTTGTAAATTACTGGATTACCTTTTGGGCAAAATAACTTTCTTTTTCAGCTATGTTTCCTTTTTAAAAGGCTTCTTTGTTTTTCATTTAATTGCCTCAACGGAATCTACTTCAAAAACCGGCCGAATATACAGCATATGCTCAATGAAATTTAATTCTCTGAACATCGTCTCTCCAAATATTTTGGGAGTCCATGGCGACAATTTTCTATTCTATTTTAAAACTTATTTAATCAATGTTGGAATATAATTTGTAAAAAATACATACAATTTTTTTTTTCTCCCCGACGAATTTTTTTTTCCAATTGTGGATCCAGCTCTCTCCGACCCAGTCATTAGTCCCCCTTCCCCTCTGGCGCCTCCCTTGCTAACAGGCCTCATAAACACCGAGTAGGCCTACACATTTCGTTTGGGTTAACATTTTTTTTTTAAAGCAATGAGGCAATGAATGGCTAATTGCAATTAAATGTGGTTACGCGTTTCGGATCCTATTCATTTTAAACAATTTTCACTAATTTAATTATTGGACAATATGTCGGAAAATTAATGCTGTTACAATATCAGCTTCTAAAGTATATAGCAATTGATTTTCCATTGTTACTGAGTAACTACGTTTAATTGAATTATAACTGAGAAACCAGAGTTGATATTTACCGTATTTTATGGTGCTATGCTACGTAATAAGGATCGTAAATTTTAATCCCTTTCATGAGAAATTATTTTTAAAACGTTATAAAGTCCTACATGCACAATCTGTGATTACGCAGCGAGACAACAGAAAATAAACCAACATGCCTAAAATGCACAATTATACACTTTTTAAGCATTTTTATATCGCGATACTCTATAAAATTAATGTGAAGATTTATGATAGTTCTGTTGGAGAGCAAAGGTGGATTTCTCCCTCCTTCCCTCCCCTTTTGGAAAGTCAAAAAAAATAAAGTAAGGAAAAAAGTAAGTGATCACCCCCAAACGGCTCAGGGTTTACTTCCGGGCGTCTAGAAAACAACAAATTTACAGGGGCAAGCCCCCGGACCTCCTATGATGGTGTTATTTTCGCACCCCCCCCCCCTTCGGGCCTCCTTTCAGACACCTCTGGAACCGCCCCTGGAGAGGCTGGTAGTGAGCGAAACAGTGGCGTAATCACGGTACTTTTCTGAATTCTCCAATATGTACATATTTACATAAAGTCAAAGAATCTGGATAAATGACAGGATAAATAATTTTTAAGAAAATTGTTGTAATCTGCCTCGGTAGAAATGTATATGTTTACTTACACATTTTCTCTTTTATAATTAATAATAACAAATGTAACAAAAATGCAAATCAACGTTCGCCGAGCTGTTTTGCAAACATGCATATAGAAATAGACATATGGACAAATCCAGAAAAAACATCGGATAATTGAGAGAATACACTTCGAGCACCAGAAGATGAATCTCTTACCAAATACCACCATCGACTCAAACTTTCGCATACTCAGTAGACATTGTAGCTACTAAATGAAGACTGCTTTATTGGTGATGATACATTCTCGATTGTACATTAAAGAATAGCAAGTACGATCTCGAAAGAGATAATTGATATATAAAAAATATGAATCTATATTACGAAGATTTAAAATAGGCCTATAGAACTACACAATTTATTGTAACGAAATGTCCTTATATCCAATAAATTATCATAGTAAGCTTTATGTTGTCTTTATCTAAAGACTTCATTTCGTCCTTTTTTGATCCTCATCAGCGTTTCTGATGTCCGGTATACATTTCTATAAATAATGTATTCATCAACATTTCATAACTATACGTTCTTTATACACAATCTATCCAGGCTAATAGTGTTCTTTATTATTGAACATTTTTTCCACTACACGCGATGTAACCAATTACACTCTTGAAGTTCGATTACCTGTCATTATACATAATATTCTCATTAGTTGAATAGATGACCTATAATTCTGAAAGAAGGTTATTTATTTAATAGTTGACTAAACATTCCAAGTTTAGAAACAGTTTTAGTTAGCCTATTATTTAGGAAAAAGAAAGGTGTATGGGCTTATTGATACACGGCCGGCGCTGAGTTTCTGTAAAACTGCATTAACAATCCTTCCTAATCCGAATTTTCGGATCGGAAGGCCTACCGTGTAAGAATAGAGACGATAGCGTTTTCAGCGCATCGGAAGCGCGCTCCAAATTTCGGTTCGGATCCGACGTAAATGCAGCTTCAGCCCAGATTATTATACATTAGTTAACAATTAAAAAAACAACATGTTACACTGCAAAAATACCAAACATGTTTAGCTTTTAAACGTGTCACTATAAGCGAAACAAAATTGTGTTTAAACCCACCACTCGGTTTTACATTGTACACCATATATTTCTTCAGAAAATGGAAGTATATTCCATGTTCAGACTGACATTCACGAAATGATCCTTAAAGGCGCATTCACACCGAATCTGAATTTTCCGATCGGAAAGCCTACCGAACCGATCAGAAAATCAAATCAGTATGTAAAAACCGGGCACTCACTGCGCCCGACGGTCGTGGGACGACGCGATTCATGCAGAACGCAACTCGACGATGCGCGCCCAAAGGTCATTTTTAATGACGATCCGTTCAGACTGCCACCGGCAATCAGCAGACGGCGTAGCGTCGTCTAGCGCTCACAGGGAGCGATGTTGGTTTCGCCGTGCATAGTTCGAGATCATAGTTCTATTTATCTACATACGTTTAATACAATACACTCTCTCAAACCAAAAACATAGCTCTCATTGACTACAATATTTTCTTCATGGTGCACGTTTTTCATGATACGCTTTTCATGATCCAGTTCACATTCTCATGATTATTGCTTGTGGTCCATAATTTGACAGTCGTTTTATGATACACGTTTTGGGGATCTCGTCATCTTCTGTTCCTTGATCTATTCTGTGTGACTTCTCGTGACGTTTTTTTTTTTTTTTTTTTTTTTTTTTTTTTTTTTTTTTTTGTGACTCTCATTCTCGAGATCCTCTTTCCCGTTGTCATCTTGCTCGTTATCATATCTTGCTATCATCTGATTTTGTGATCCTCTTTTACATGATCTTATGCATCGTGCTAATCTTATTCGTTGCCCCTTTTTCCGTGATCCACTTTCTTGTGATCTTCTTTCTCTATCCTCTTTCATGTGTTCGTTTACCCTGATCATCCTTCTCTTGATTCTAAATCTCGCGATCTCATTTCTTTTAACTCATTCTTGTGCACAGCCGTAAGTAGGGATTTTGGCGTCCGGAGCCAAAATGTATGTTTCCCCTTTCCAGATCCAAGGTTATTCTAAACATGGACACTTAGCCCATCTAATCTTTATGCTAAAATTTGTACGTATTTAATTGAGTATAACACTGCCAAAAATAACACCTGGACGAGCTATATAATTTTTGTCCAAGCTCTTCTGGAGCCCCTTCCTCAGATCGGGCCATGAGGCACGGGCTCTGTTCTCAACCCCTGTAGTTACGCTTCAGTTCCTGTTCTCTTTTTTTTCAGCCGGTTCTCGTCCTAGAAGCGCAGTATCTATGTTATAATATTTTTTTTCAACATTTTTGAATAAAATCAAAATATGTACGGTACTATATTGATTAGGTTAAATTGAAATATGCCGAATAGAAAACAAATAATAGCCTATATAGTTTGTTTCAACATCCGAATAAAATTTCCATCGATTTATAGGCCTAATAATTATTTAGACATAAAACTATTAGTCATGATAATTTTTTCCACCATCCAAACAAAGGGGTTAATTTAATATTTAACTAGGTCTATAGCATTTTGTAAATAAACTCGACGAACTGTATTGGTTGAGTATCTCCAGGTCCTAAAATACTCTGCAATTTGAACGCAGGTGCAGTTAGTCCATAAAAAAAATAGGCCTACTTTCAAAAATTATTTTATTATTTTCATATATATATATGCATACATACATATATATATACACATATATATACATACATATATACTTGTCTCTTATACACAAGAATTTGGCACGATGATCTAAGATGATCATGCCGAAATGTACATAAAAAAATTGTAGACTAGACCAAAATCTAAAATGTCGAATGATATTTTCCATTTGTTTTTTTTTAAGTTTCCTGGTTTACACATTGTTTGTACGACACCACATTTATTCATACTACATTAATTTACATTTATGAATAACATGATATACCACTCAAAATCTAAATAGGCCTATGCTTGACGGGCATTTTTCTTTGCTAACATAAGGTTAAAAAGCTTGTGTTTACTTCGAAATTGAGATAAACGATGCTAAAATATGTAAAAATTCAACAAGACATCACGCGTGAAATATACTGGTAGTTTATAACTTTCATAAACAAGATAGCACTTTGATCGAACCCTTCATGTACTTTTTGTGATTAAATCACTTTGAAACACATGTAGCTTCTTTAATTAAAAATAACGCCAAATATTGAGACCATATGTATAAGAAAATATAATAACATTAATAAAAACTATAATAATGATAATGATGATGATATATAAAGATGATGATGATGATGATGGTGGTGGTTGTGGTAGTGGTGATAATGATGATGATAATGATGGTGGTTGTGATGATGATGATGATGATGATGATGATGATGATGGTAATAATGATTGTGGTGATGATGATAAACATGATGATGATGATGATGATGATGATGATGATGATGATGATGATGATGACGACGACGATAATGGTGGTAGTGGGTGGTGGTGGTGGTGATAATGGTGGTGGTGGTGGTGGTTGTGGTGGTTGTGGTGGAAATGATGTTATTGATAGTCCTTCATCTACACCAATCTAAAACCTGCTGACTGTAAAAATCTGGGAAACACCTTAACAATTCCATTATGTATAATGTGGATTGCACAATATTTTCGAAACAATTAATATTTTTTTCTGGTTTACGGACGAAATTCTTTATATTACTGGCGGTAACAATAAGTACAGTATATAGAAATTATATGCGTCCGTAATCAATTCCATGACTCTGTCTAATGTTAAGTACAGTATTTTGGTTCAATACCGTATACCGTACATTTCCAGAATCTTCACTGGGGCTGATCGACGAACTGTGTCACTTGGTCACGTCACCAAACCAATACATGTGTATGCTTTTTGAAACTCAAGTAAATCGTATAATTATACTGTAAGTATGTGTTTGACCGCTAAAGCCCATATCTATAAAACGTGCAACAACTTACGTTACTATACCTACACTCATGCTGTTTACACAGATCAAGTACCAACGAGAGGTTCTACCTTGTAAGCAGTAATTAAAGACCACGGGAATACAAAGGGCAAACAAGGGGCTACTTTATTCCCCGGTAACTAACATTTACATGGATACGTTTATTTCAATGCTCGTTTGCAAGTTTGCAATAACTCCAAATAAAACATGTCTCTGCTTTAGCTATGGCTATTTCTATTTTTGCCTGTGAAAAAATATAAACTTGAGCCTATCGAACCCTATATTTCCTTTAATGTATTATAAAATAATGTATGGTATTGTGAACCTAGTCTCAATATATCTAAAGGCTATTATAATATATATATATATATATATATATATATATAAAGTGTTCGAATAAAGGACAAAAGAAATAGTATAGCATATGCATTCAAATATATATTTAATTTAACAGTGTTAACGGCTATCTTGATA